GCTGCTAACACAACAAAACCCTTAACATCTCAAAAAAAAAATGCTGAATGTATATGCGTATGCGATTAGTTAGAGTGAAAAAAAAAACTGAATTAATTTTTTTTTTTTTTTTTTTTTTTTTGCGAATAATATAAATAAATAATATTTTATATGCTTTTTTTTCTTTTTTAATTTTTTTTTTTTTTTTTAGATGTTAAGATCTCAATTTCTTTCGAAAGGAGTGAAATGATAGAAATTTCGACCTTAGCCATTTTCACATTCTTTTTCAACATTATTTTTCCTCGCCCTTTTCATCACTAATAATGACAATAGACTCTTGTAACTTACTTTTAGAATTCGCTTTCTTAATACTCTTTGTTTTTCCGGATTTTCCCATTGAACTACCATCTTTACTAACCCTCCTCTTTAACCAACCTAGCACACCTCCAGGATGTGAAGATTTAGATAAAGAACTATTGACTGATCCATTCACACTTCCTGCAGCACTTACACTTACACTTCTGTTCATACCTATCGAACTTAAATTTATAGTCGAATGACTGTCACGGTTTTGAAAGTGTTCCACAATTTCATTTGAATTAATATTTTGACTATTATAACTTCGATTATGTGATAGTGCCCTAATTTTTCTAGAGCTATCACGTTTTCTTATATGCTGATATGGAAATGGTAATGATGAATCTAATGATGCTGTAGATGCGTTTGAGGTTGAACTTATTTGTTGAGGTCTTGACTCACTTTCATTATGTATGTTTGTTGATGTTTCGGTGGTTGAGTCTTCGACATTAGTGGAATATTGCACTGGTATTTGTGATGACCAAGACATTCGATGTTTCCTTTGAGAAGATGACAATGATGTAACTGATGATGGCGGAGTTTTGATTGATTGTGATGATGCGCTTGATTTTATTCCTTGTTGATAAGATAAAATAGATGGGGATAATGAGGACGATGATAATGGACGTTGTGTAGTTGACCTTAAAGTAGACGGCGTATATGATGATGGAGGTGATGATAATGCACGTCTTCGAGATCCTTTGATCGATGCTTGCGTGGTTGTTCTACGATTATGGCTATGGTTCCGGTGGTGTTGATCCCCCACCCGAACCGCCCCGAGTCAACTGATGCCTTCTTGCAACGAGATGTCATCTCGAGCATTATTATCTTCTTCACTGAAACTTGCATCATTTTCTTCTATTATCGGTTGCTCTTTCTTATTAGTTATTTCATTGCTAGATTTTCTTTTTATTATTGAGGTAGAGAAATATCCTTGGGATAAAATCTCTCTGGCAAGTTCTCGTATTAATACAGCAGGATCTTCTCTGCTCATACGAGAAGTAATATCGAATAATCCATATCGTTCGACTATAGCTTCACGCTGTGGATGCACATCACATACAGATCTTAATATTCTTAATAAATTTAACCTTACAACTGGTTTTGGATGTCCAAGTCGATGTAATAGACGCTTAAAAAATCTTGGTTGCGCTAGTGCACAGGCTACAGATGTTGATAATTGAGTAACTATATACAATGGTTCTAAGATATTTTCAAAGGAATTCGCCTTGGCCATAATAAATGCTTCCAAAATAAGCTCAATATTTTTTGGTAAAAGAAGCACTGACTCAACTTTAGATGTTTCTTCTTGAATCCATGCAAGAATAGCTTCTAATGCATTCACCTGATAAAAAGGATCAACTAATAAATCAAGATAAAGTTGTAAAATATTATGTTTCCATAACAAATCCCTACAAACTTGTCCAGTATGGGCCATATCACAAAGTATTGGTAATGCAAACTGTTTAAGAGGTGTTTTGTTGGATGCAAAATATTGTAAATGAGGAATAATTCCAGCCTTGGCAGCTTCTTCCTGTCTTGATTTATTAATTCGACAAAGATTAAACATTGTGTTAAGCACTTGATTCGAAATTTCAGTTACATAAGGTGGTTCTTGTTTATCCAATATTGCAGTAAGAACCTGAATTGCTTTTGCCTTCTGTAAAGCCTCCAAAGTATTTGAATTCATTGAAATATTCTTTATACATTTAAGCATCATTACAGCAAGGTTTGGTGGTAATTTGTCCAAATTATCAAATATCCTAGAAACAATCCTTGTCCGTGTTGCCATGACTTCTTTAACATATGCGTCACCTTGCGAGAACATTAAAAATATATTAACTATTCTATCTACATATACACTGGCCGCTGGATCCTTATCCAAAATTACATGATGAAGCATAATAGCTAATGGGTCCAATAATCCATTCTTTGCTAGTAATCTACAGAAATCATTTTTTGGAGTTGGGCTCTGAAGTTCAAACACCCCATATATTCCATTCACTGCGATCCATATTAATTCCTTGTGTTCGTTGTAATCCTCTTGTAAAAATTCGACAAGAACTTTTAAACCTCGACAAGAAATAAACATTTGAAGGATTACAGGTGACGTATGACAAATCTGTCGTATAAATATCGCAGCCTCAACACGAATTTCGTATGGATATCGTTTTGAAGTAAAGTTCATAATAACGGGTATTCCACCCACAAGACAGAGATTTTCTTGAAGATTAATATTACTTGCAATAATTATATTAACTATTTTGAGTAATCTTGAAAGAACACTTGCATATGAACATATTTCCAGCAGTTCTATGATTGGAATCACACCATGGAAGATGATAAAATGGTTCTTAAGCTCTTTATGTTCTGTCAATAAATCAATTATTTGAACACATGAGATTACCAATCGATCCTCGCTTTCATTAGGCTGTAAAGCATTAATTAACTCTTCCAATCTTGAACAAGCGCGTGCATATTTATCCCTGGCAATATGTGCATTTATATCAATTTCATCAAAATTTTCCTCCATTTCTGCAAAGGGGTCATCTTCATCACTGATATCGTCTCCAAACCAACTATTGCTTGAAAGTTGTGTGTTTAGTTTCAACGTATTATTAAAGCCATCTTCTTCATCTTCACCAAAGGCTTTGTTATAATCGTCATCATCGGATTCATAATATTGTTGAATTTCATTTGAATTTTGTGCATCCTCTTGATTTCCTTCAGAAGACAATAGAACAATTCCATTAAAATTTCGTTGCTTTTGAGATACTTCGATCGGAGATACAGGCTGAAATAATGTAGTTCTTCTTGATGTTGGACTAGTTGTTGTCGCAGATACTGTTGATGGTGTTGATTTGTGTGTTGGTAGCGGTGGAAGTGGTTTACGAACCCTGTCATTTGTTCCGTTATGAGAAGAATTAATTGGACTTGGTATAGAATTGGCACTGTGCGCACGGGTATGATGTTTAATTATCGATTTTATCGCCGGATTTTCAGGCTTTGATTTATTGGTTTTTGATATCTCTATAGATTTTGTAATTGACGAAACGATTGGTGGTTTGGCTAGTGACGTTCTGGTGTATTCTACGTTATTTGATTTATTTAAATTTTTTGATTTTATATGAATTGTATCTTGCATGGACTCCCAACTATTGTGTTTTTCTTCAGAATTATCCTCAATTATATCATCTACATTTCTTTCTATTTTCTCGTTCTCTAGTTCCTTATTATCTCGAGCTACTTCTTGCCGCTTGTTTTCTCGAAGAACCCTTTCTTGTTTATGATTATTATTTTGTGATGCTTTCTTTTGAAAATTATCTTCTTTATAATCTAGGGGATTTTTCTCATGTTGCTTAATATCTTTATCATCACGATACACCGTTAATTTTTTACTCTTATCTCGTCCATTTTTAAACCGACTTAATCGAATGGTTTGCACATTATCTTCATCAGATGACTTATGATTTAATTGTTTACTTTGTATACCCGCAATCTTTGCAAAAGGTATTGAATCCACAAAATCATCGTCCCAATTATCTCCTTCGTCTTCAGGTTCAATAGTTACCGAAAGACGACTAGGTTGTTGACTTGATGAAGTTGGTGGTGGTGTAATCAAATCTGAAGAATTATTAAAAGGCATTAGATTTACCAGTTCACTATTCTCGACTTGCGGTGTAAAATCTGGTATTTTTGATGGAAGTGCGGGAATTGGTGGTGAATTACCACTACCAAAAGGTGAATTTTGATGAAATTGATGTTTTGATAATTTTGTAGGCATAGTAGCTGTTAATCTTAGTGACTCGCTTCTTCTGCGTCGATGGGATGGCGATGAAGGCTTGAATTTTGTACCTTTTAAAGCTTCATTCCACTCTTGAACACTTTTTACAGCTTCTGCATATTCTGCATATTCTGGTGATAATTTTGGTTGTTGTAAAGTATCACCTTTTCTTTTTTTAATGCTAACTATCCAAGGATGTTTAAGTAATTTTCTAGCCGAAACTCTGAGATTACTATCCTTTTGAAAACATTGCATAAGAAAATCCTTAACAACAGGTGATGCAGTTTCTGGCAACGGAGGATGTTCATCTTGAACTATCCTAAAAAGTGCAGGCATAGGATCAAGGTGATGATAAGGAGGTTTTCCCTCTAAAAGTTCAACAACCACACACCCAACACTCCAAATATCTGAAGAAGTAGTTGCACCTGATAATTCAATTATTTCAGGTGCCATCCAATATGGCGAACCAACAACATTCGAGTCGCTTTTCGTCGTAGCAACGCCAAAATCGGCAAGTTTCACACGACCCTCTTTGGTCGCTAGGATGTTTGCACCTTTAATATCTCGGTGTATAACCCCTTGGTCATGTAAGTAACGTAAACCTTCCAAAACTTGTTTAATATATACAGCAACGAGGTTTTCGGGAAACTTTCCAAATTTTCTGCAAATATTATGTAGAGATCCATTTTCGCAAAATCTAAAGTATTTTAAATTATGTCAGTTATTACAATTATATAATTAAAGGCCCACCATCACGTAACTTACTCTAATATGATATTCAAATGTTCCTTTGATTTGACGTAATCTTTATATTTTACGATATTCGGATGCTATTAAATTAAAAAAAATGATAAATTAATAAAAGATACATACATTATACCCAAAAATATTAAAGACTTACGTTAAGATTCTTTAACAGTTCAATCTCGGTCTTTATAAATCCAAAAATAAGAACAAGATATTCTTTTAATTAATAACAAAATTTAAATAGATTACTATTTTCTTATTGGATAAAACTTACCATAATAAATATTAATTCTGATTTCGGTATACTACATAGCTTAATTTGTTTAACGGCAACAGCTTCACCGGTCTCCCAATTTAAAGCCCTATATACCGAACTAACAGCACCTTTTCCAAGACATTCACCTAATTGCTAAATTTAATCAAATGAATTAATCAAACAATAATTTATTAAATTTTAAAAATGAATTATTTAGAAGATAACTTACGTATTTACTTATAGTTTGGCCTATAGGTTTAGAACTAATGGGTTTAGGTCCCATTGCACCTTGAGTATAACTCAATAACTCCAGGTTCGTTACAAATACAATAAATTTCCTATAGGAATTTTTTGACGATTAAAAATATTCGAGAAATATTTTAAAGCTCTACCATATAACAATTAAAGTCGGGACTAAGTGTTGTAAGGTTAAAAGGGAGCGGAACTTAGTTAATGAACGTTAACGTTTATAAATAGAACTGTAATTAAAGAAAGAGAACGAAATGTTTTTTCCACTAACGGAAAGGGATTCCTCACAAAACTAATAAAAAAGAAAAAAAAAATGTTCAGACCAAATTTAAAGATTATAGTAGTTAGTTGAACCTATTAAGTTTATTTACGGTAGTTAAAAAATATATTATATATATATACCGGTATATAAAATAATTTTTACCTGGCTTGTAAGTAGAATCCTTGTCAACAAAAGCAATTCCTATAATAATATAATATAGAAAAACAGTGCAAATTTTTCCTACACAAACCTTGTTTTTACAAATAATCTTTTTCACCCAAATTTATTACGGGATATTTTTAGAAATAATTTTTTGGACAACTTGTAATATGTAAAAAAATCGCAAGGAAATAAAATTTGGGTTCACAACTTCACACTGCGTAATTTTTAATGCAAGTGTTCGTTTATTAATGCCGTACTATATGATGTTTTTTCAAAAAGGGCAAAAAAAAAGAATCTATGCATTCACAGTACGTAAATACTGAAATAATAAATGTTTAAAAGTAAATTACAAGCCACGAATCGAAGAGTGTTTGTTATCTACGTACTTAATTCAATATATGCAATACCGTAAAATCGGGGCATGTATACACAGTAGTTCAGATTTGTCGAAAAAGGAATAGCCGAAATGTAGAAGTATCTAACTAAGAATTCTTCTCCGTACTAGGTCGATTTTACGGAATAAATAAAATAATTTGAGGATCCCATAATTTTCCAGGGTCACGTCACAATTATAACTTTTGACTCGTTAATAATTATTTAGAAGTAACGCTAATAATTACAATTCTTATAAAAGCACTTTTTCGTAGATAAATTTTTTCACGATTATTTATCTATGATGAATAAAGTCGTTAAAGAATTGGAGAATAAATTTACTTTAGTCTTGGGTGCGATATTTGAATATTACAAATAGCTTTTATTGTTATCTGTTTGAATTTTATTGCAATGATTAAAGTTACATTTGCAAATTTCTTGTTCGGAGCGATCAACGATATCACGTGATGTCTGTCTGTCTGTGCGCTTCTGTGTTTCTGATTGGTTAGATATGATTGACGGTAAGGAACCTGGCATAGAAAGTCAAAGCATGCCAAGCTGGCATACCCATATATGGGCTGCCGTCAATACGTAGAAATCAAGCAGATCTACATTTAAAAAAAGTTAATACCTTAACTTTCACAGCCCATATCTCGATGAATTTTAAAGCTATCTTGATTATATAGTATTCAAAAGAAAGCTTAGATCGTACGCTTTCTTTTGAATATTAATCTATCAAGATAGCTTTAAAATTCATCGAGATATAAGCTTTGAAAATTAAGGTATTGATTTTTTTTCAAATGTAGATCTGCTTGATCTCTATTGATGGCAGCCCATATAGGCATGCCTTTATAATTAAATTATATATTTATGCAATCTAATTGGTTAAAGCTTACTATATAATTTTTTTTTAGTTTATATTATGGCCATAGTGACATCCTGACATGTCAAATGATTTTATACGTGCCATGTTCCCTAGTGACAGGATGTAAAAACCTGAAAATCATTTCACTTATTATCATCGTAGTGAATTCTACTCCTGAGGCTAAGGGGTAGAATTCATTACAACGAAATAAGCGAAATGATTTTCAGGTTTTCATACCCCGTTACTCGTATAACTGTATAATAATGATATCATATATTCAATTTTTTTTTATTTAGATTATTACTATTTTTTTTATTAACTAAAATTATATATATTTATATTGCTTTAATATTAAGATTCTTTTTGGCTAATAGAATTTTTATTTTTAAGAGTTAGCCTGATTTATAGTTAGTGTTGGCTATGGCTAAATTATCGGTGAAATATCTAAATCCTAATTAATATATTAATAAACATATTAAGAAAAATTAAGCTAAGTAGAGGAGAATAGCTAATACTATTCTATTTTATTTCAATTTTATGCGGCTTTTAAAACTTAGGGTTAGAGCTCTTACAAAGAAGGAACAGTTTAATTAGAAGAGAAGGCACTTTGATGTTTAAGATTTTTTTTTAATTCGTTTGTATATGAAAGTGTTATCAGAAATGGATCTGCAAAAATACAAAAACTAATTAAAAGTATCAGGAAGGTATTTTTACCTAAAACCTTATCCTAACCCCGATACTAATGTTAAAATCTAATAATAATTATATAAATTTTATATAAGTTTAGACGTCCTTAGTCAAATGTTCTGCAAATACTGGATAATCTTCATATGAAATACGCATAGTTACAGTATGTATTTGTTTAACATCTCTAAATACTCTTTTTCAAATATTCTTTTCTAATGTTTTAAATAACAGTTTGAAGAGTAAGGAAACGTTCTTAAGACAATTAATTATTTACTGATAATTATTATATGTTTATAAACTAAAAATGTTGATATTAATAAATAAATCACAACCTCGAACCTGAGACAACGTTCGGTTCAAACCTAGCATGTTTTAATAATATACTGTAATCAAAATTTATGTTTTCAGAAAATTCAATTAAAAATTTTGAATTTTACTTTGGTTTTACATTTATTTAAAAATTTTGTATAATTAAAAATAAATTCGTATCTATCATATACTTACAGAAATCTTGATTTTTTTGTTAAATATATAAAAATAATATAATTAAATATAATTAGAGAATTGCTATTTCCACCTCTACTTTTGCTAATACCATTCTCCAAAATACATAAAAGTGCTCCGGAAGAGATATTATTATTAATTAAACCTCTTTTTTAGTATTAATTAAAGTTGTTTATTAGGTCTTTCCAGTTCTAATGATAGTAAAATTATTAAGATCGAATTGGTGGTTCTTAAAATATTTATACTTAAATTTTATAATCTTTAATCCACTTTTAAAAAAGAACTACTAGTCTAATTTTTAATATTTACTACTATTAGAACCGGAAAGACCTAATAAACAACTTTAATTAATACCAAAAAAGAGATTTACTTAATAATAATATCTCTTCCAGAGCACTTTTATGTATTTTGAAGGGTAGCATTAGCAAAATTGAGAGGTAGAAATAGTAACACTATATAATTATTATATATTTACAATATAATATAATAATTTTCAAATTGTTAACTCAAAAATATCTAAGCTATTAATATATTTTTAACAAATATTAAAAAATTTTCAAAAGAAAAATTTTAAATTAATTTTTATTTTTATTTTTTTTAAGCAAAATCAAAGTAAAGTTATGTTTCTATCTTTTTTTTTTTATTGTAACAACAAGGTTTTGATACTAGTTAATTTTTATTAGATTATTTGTAGATTTATATTAGTTAGTGAGAGTATAATTAATTATATGTATAACTTTAATCATTGTCTATTTAAAAGTTTTGCCTAAAGGTTACTTACTAATTGTTATACCTAGTATCTATTTGTAACTACTTTATTTTAAATTCTTTAGTATCTTTATTATCTTTAATATTAATCTAATTTTATTCTTAAACTTGCACAATCTTGTGTTGCTTTATTAAAAACTATTCAAACTAGCTTATATCTCAGTTTCCTCTATTAAGAAAAGCCTATCTTAAGGTATTTTATTAGTCTTATTTATGAAAAGCTTGTAAAATACCTTAACTATGTTATACTATATCCTAATTAAGCTAGTATATACTTTTATAGATATTTATATGAATTCAGTTTTTACTGTAGTTCTCTATCAGATTAGTTCTCTATATTTCTAGATATTTTACAAAACAGATTTTTCCAAATTCAGTTAGCTACTAAGCTAAGTTAGTATTGCTATTCTTTTATATAATAGACTTATTTGTATTTACTTAATCTGTATCTTTCATATATAGACTTTTTTTTTAGATTAAGTATTGACTAGTATAACTATTAAAATCTGTACTATTTTAACTAATTTAAGATTTTTACTATATGGATTTTCTGTTTGTAGATTCCATCAAGATTAGTTATACAATATTATATTATACTTCTAATATCTAATTGATATTAGTACAATATGATTTATAGCATTACAGCTTCTAAAAATAAACAAAGTTTACTGTAAATTAGATATAAAAGTTTAGATAATTATTCAAATTTATGTATAACAGTCTAATAATTTAACTACTATACTAAAATTACTAAACTCTTATATTTCTAGTTTTATTAATAATATTATAGAATAGATTTTAGTTATTTTATTATTATATTTTTATATTTATTATTATTAGTATTTAGTTATTATTTTTATTATTATATTATTTTAGTATAAATATTTTAAAGTAAAAAAATTTATTATAAATATTTATCTTTAAGTGAAATATTTTAAAAAGTATTTAAAGTAAAAATATTCTTAAATAACTTTATAATCAAGAATAATAGCTATATAATAATATAAGTTTTATTTAAAGTTATTATATAGTATATAAAAAAACTACAAGCTATAGTTAGAAAATACTATATTAAACTATATTAAACTATACTAAAGATTATACTAAACTATACTAAATACTATACTGAATACTATACTAAATATTATACTAATACTATATTAAACTATACTAAAAAACTATATAGGTGCTTTGCTAAGAAAATAGAGTTCTGAAGTCCCTTCAACCAAAAATGAGATTTTTGGTTGCATATTCATCTCTTATAAATGAACTTTATCTAGTATAAATTTTATATCATATTATCTTAGTACAAAAATAAATTATTTGGTTTCAGATTTTTTTAAATATAAAATCTAAAAATAGATTTAAAAAGTAATTTATATAGATAATAAACTAACTTTAGAATACTTTTAAAAGTATTACTATTATGTACTGTAATGTAATATAAACTTTAAAATATAAATTGTTTTTTTTTTAATTGTACAGTATTTTATAATATGTTTTCTAATTTTAGGTTTATACTTACT